TAAGCGCAGGGAAAGCCCACACTCAGTGAGGTCAAAGAGCAGGGAAAGCCCACACTCAGTGAGGTCAAAGAGCAGGGAAAGCCCACACTCAGTGAGGTCAAAGCACAGGGAAAGCCCATGCCTTGAGGTCAAAGTGCCCATGGCTTTTTTAATCATAGCAACTACATCATCAGCCTGGCCTGGGTGGTACCCCACCCCTCACTCCTTAAACGGGGACATGAAGTGGACTGCCTGGAAGCATATCAGAAATGACAGAGCGCAAAGCAGTATGAGACGACACTGAATTTGGGGGGAGCAGGGAAAGAATAACACAGCTGGCCACCCAGAGGGCAGAGATACGCGGCGGTGTGAAAAGAGTGGGAGAGCCGCCAGGAATAAAGCGCCTTTAACATGCCGAGGCGAGGTGTGACACGGGGATATGCAGTCCTCTGTCCTCACCTACACACCGCACATGACGCTCAGCTGAGTGGGGCTTGGGCAGCCAGGGCCCAGGATTGAACTGCTCTGTGATATCAGCAAAACACACCAACCAGATATGGAAGCATTTTAATGAAGGACAAATATATATGTTTTAATTGCTTGTCCTGGTTATGGTCTGAGGGACATATCCCACAATGCATAGGGCACATGGTAAGTGAGATGTCAATGCAGAACAGGGTGTATTTTCAGAGCAGCTTAGAGACACCAGTTAGTTTAACTGCGTGTTTTAGGACTGATGAAGAAAACTCACATGATAAAGGCCAAGCATACAAACTCCACACATACACACACAGAGAAGCCAGGATTCAAACCTGCAGCCCTGGTGGTGGAAGATCAGAGACCTACTTACTGAAGAACCCTACGAGGCACACTATGATTTGTAACTGAAGAGCAGAAGAAGCAGATGGCCAGGGAGAGACCTAAGGGCAGTGCATGGTGCATTGTGGGCGGGGCCTCACCATCGAAGCTCCTGTATTGGCTCTGCAGTGAGGACAGCAGTGCTTGTCCTGCCTCCCTCGCCAGCTCCTCCACCTCCCACCGGCCCTGATTGGACAGCTGCTCTTCCATCTTGCTGGTGCAGCAGGTGTAGCCCTGGGGACAGATGCGCAGGTGCTCACCTGGGGAGAAAGGCAGGGGGATGTGAGCTTGGAGAGACACGGGCTGGGGCAATACTGGGGACTGGGACGATGACTCAAAATAGGGTATTTCTGGAGATGATTTACTCAATTAACATACTTATAAACAGATTCACTGAAACAGAGCCCAGTAACAGAAAAAAATACCCAAGAAAAACCGGGAAACATCTTGATTTAACCATCATGTAAAGGTATAAATAGTCCTAGATCATATAAATCCAAATGAAGACTCATACATAGAAACACGATGTGAGTGGTTATTTATGACTAAACCTTGCTCCCTCCACCTCACACGCACATCGGCGGTTGCTGAGAAGTGAGCGGCTGACTTGTTAGTCTGATTCATCGATACACCGCGGACCCCCTCTCCTGCCATTAAGAACAGAACCTCGTTCTCCACTAGCCCCCACGCTCCACCCTCAACGCGATCCCGCTCTGAACACAAAGCCTCCGAATCAGCTGGATGTGCAGTGCTGTTACTCACTGGCCTGACACTTTTAATCAAACCCTACTTACCATTTTTTCCTGTTTATACAGCTGGATGTTTTACTGGCCCGACTCAGCAAGCATGTTACCCTTCCAGAATTCAAACAAGCTAAACTTCAGATTACAAGCCCATGACCTTGGCTACAACGTCTTTGGCAGATTATAAATATTAAAGTGGACGGGCTATTTGGGTGACATTGGGTCTCTGCAGTCATTCTGTTTCCATTAAATACGTCATGGGATTGCCTCTCTCAAGGGGTCACCCATGGGAGTATCTGATCTGACCTTCACCCGACTACAGCCGAGAGCACGATGGAGAAAAATGAAGAGGGTGGAGATGAAGGAGGATAGGGATCCCTGAAGATGAGTGACTCCATGAACTAGACATCTCTTCATCTTCACTGACGGGTTAAACTGCGTTTATAGGATATTAATGGACCCTCTGTGACTTCCCCAGACTCTCTGGTCACTGGGCCAGTTTCTCCTGGGTTCTTTATAAATTTATGACATCCCCAAGAAATGTATAAAAAGAATGAAAAGATGAATCACAAATCAATGTGACTTTATCAAACCTTCCAGCACTTCCAACACGTTACAATCATGTGTTCATTGATCACCGATCGTCTGACATCAGTACGATCCCAACATAAGACAGCTTTCTCTTTTATAAATACACACGTCCGTGAATTAGAATAATTATTGTCCGTTTTGGGTGGCAATCATAGGGAATCATAGGCTATCCTCTTGAAGAGGATGAGCTGCTGTGTGCCCAGTGATCGTTAGCAGAGTATAAGGCCTCATTCCAGGAAGGATTCCCTGCACTTTATCAGGCACACTATGTTACTCACCAGTGCTTGAACAGGATACGCCAGTATCTGCCCAAACTATACCTTGATACAGGGATGACCTATATACATACACAGATACAGATAATGGTCGCTTTAAATTACACAGCCAATGAGAGTGCAACCTGAAATCGCCCTGGCAGCTCCAGCTCCAGCGCTGCCCGGCAACCGCCTCCTTCACCAGCTGAAGCTAGCTGCTCCCCGGGGAGGAGAGTATCTGCCCAGCCAATCAGGCGGCCTTTCCAGAGCGGGATGCCGCGATTCAGTGACACGCTCCATTGCCTGGACTCTGCTGATTCTCTCACTGTGTGTCAAGGATTATGTGGAGCTACTGGTCCCTCACAGCCCCCCCTCCCCCATCACGGATGGGGGCTGTCATCCTGTACTACCTGGGATAACACTGAGACTAAACAATGAGCCATCTGCCTCCTGCCAGCTTCAGGGGCACCTCAGCTAAGAGGAGGGTACGTTCTGGAGAACTTCAGCTGGTGACATGAAGGTGTCTGAAGGAAGCTGAGAGCAGCAGGCCTTTGCAGAACAACTCGACCTCCACGCATGAGGCAGACAGAGCAGTCAATGTCGGTGTCACTCTACATCATCCTCTCCCATAAACTACACTGATCTGGAGCCATTTAGCACCATCAGTTTGATCACTGTGTGCACAGCTGGATCCAGGCCAGATTTTAAACATCAGCACCCCCCCCCCCCCAACGCAGAATAAAGCAAAGTGAGCTTGTTAAAGCCCCCCTCCCCCACTTGTGGCACGCCTGGTGGGGAATATTAAGATGCCTCTAGTCTGGAGATGACATTCTCGGGTGCCTTTGATGGACAGACCTTGAGATGAGATGCAGCAGCATGCAGTGTAACTCTCTCCAGCCACTGCTGAAGGACCCTTCCACGCTCCAGTGCAATATGTGACCCAGGGAGGGGGCGTGGCCTTCGAACAAGCTGTGCAGAATCTCCCCGACCCACATACGCTCCTGCACAGGTACAGATGCAGCTGCCAGGCGGAGCAGAGAGCTACCTAAGTGTGTCGTGCCAGACTACAGGGGGAATTAAAGGCTCGCCTGCAGTCTCATACAGACTTTTGTGTGTGTCCCCCTCATCAACCTCAAGAGTCCTCCTTGTGTTCCAGCAAACCTGTGGCTGACATCCGGCTGATAAAGGGTGAATTTATTGGCACCAGACCAATCGCAATGTCTGGAAATACAAATGCTGTTCAATTCAACCTCCCTCTTCATGTTCTTCATGTTGACTGAAAGCCACACTGTAAAGGACTTGGGACCTGAGGAGCTTCTGAGGAGTCCGGAAAAGGCAGCCAGGCAAAAGGGGCTGGGGTTGAACCTCAGGAATAGGAGTAAGAGTAACAGGAGCCCAGATGCAAAGGCATGTAGACAGCAGTGCTTGTTTTCCAGAGAGGGTGCTTAGCTGATGGGCCCTTAACACAAGGGGCAGTGATCTGGGGAGCTGATCCGTTCATCTCTGCAGCTGGACGGCCGAGCATGAGGTCATAAGATACACACAGATACACAGTGACCCGCATGCTGTCTCCAGTGGCTCTCGACGCGAGTACAGTGCAGCCGAGCTTCAACGGCATCTACGAGGGCCAGCGTGCCGGGGGCATGAGCGATCAAATTCGCCTTAATGATGGACTCAGGGCTAGACACTGCAACCATTTATTGAGAGGGTGGACACAATTTCACGTGGTCGTATCTGTGCAAGTGTCTGACGATCATTACAATGTTTTTCTCCTGCATGGGTACTGCAGTAACGAATTGTGATTGACAGTTTTTATTTTTTCCCCGGCTCCACGTATCTTTTTTTGTTTTTTTTATTATGTCTTGTTATTTTTACTGAGTTGGTCTCTCCGTATCTGGAGTATGTACATAAATGCAAACTGCTGAAAGAACAGAAACAAAAAACAAACAAAAAGAGAAGAAAGAGGAGGAAGCTGGTGGAGAGGGAGAGCCAAAGAGAAGTTAGGTTATTGAAGATAATGCTCAGATTAAAATATTTTGCAAATACAGTAACAGTAAAAGTCTTGGCTGAGGTGCAATACGCATCTTGATCTCAGTACCCAGCCTCACTGACTTAGCTGGAATCTCACAGTAATTTCACATTTTTTGATTCCAAAACATGGTGGTCCCTCAAGGTACAGTAGTAATGTTGTGCATATGGGGGCATAATTTGATCGTTAATTGTTAATAGTTTATTATATAGTAGGTCTAGACAGGAAATGACAAAGCAATTCAAAATGCAAAGTATACAATAAAGTACTGTTTATTTAGAAATGGGTAATAAATAAACTTTTTATTTTATTGCTCGGGCTAGCAGACTGTTATGGGTGAAGGTTTGGGGGGGGCAAGTATTATTCGCAAATTGTCACTTTTGTAGGAATCTTCCGCCCCAAACCCACAATAATGTGAAGGGGTTACCGCACCGAGTCTTGAGTCACTATCAATCTTTTCAATACAAAAACTAGAGTGAGCGACCATAAGAGAAAGCTGGTTGCACCAGTGCTACCACTAGAAAAGTTAGTCTGGAGTTCTGGGACTAATGAACTTCAAACACGGACACTGGAACAAAAGAAAACAGCTCCAAGAGCTGGAAGCCTGTCAGTGCTCACAAACACAAGAAGTCTTGGGTGGAGATGAGGGAACAGATTCAGAGCTGGTGGGGCAATTTACCAAATACATAGAATGGCTGGAGTCCCCTGAGGAGAGGTTTGGGAATGGAAACAGTGTTCATGTTGCCATCCAGCAAGACAGCAGGAGAAATTATTTTTCATTTTTATCATATTATTCTTAATTTGCATATGTTTTTATGTAAAATTGTGGTTTTTTTTATGAGCAAATACACACTTAGTACCCTGATAAACAGCTTTAAACATTTTCTTTGACTGCCTACTTAAACTAAAGGTGTACTGGGAAGTAAGAAGCTCTACCTGAAGACAGAATCATGTCAAATCACCAGGGGGGGTCCCCAGCAAAGAGGGTGAAGTAGCCTACATCACCATGGCCACCCCCCAACCCCCCCCTCCCCCCCCCGACAGTCACCTCGACTGTCTGTCAGCTCTGCTCCATGACTAAACCACCCCCCCCCTCCCGCAGATCTGTGCTATGCCCTTGTATTCCTTTCCTCTCAGCCCAGATCAAAAGGACTAAGTCACCCCAAGCCCCCCCACCAGTGCCTTAAGGTCAGAATCTTTATAGTCTTATATGACTCTCAATGGGCAATCATCCCGCCGCCCTCAATCAACTGCAACTTCACCTCTGTGTTATGAGACGGAGACATTCACAAGCCCTGCAGAGAGAGAGCAGGCTGCTTGGGAATTCAGCCCCCCCCACACCACCTCACCCCACCCCAAGCCCAGGGCCAGAAACACTGCTCACCTTAAAGCACATACACCTGGGGATAGTTTTACACAGAGGCAGAACAGGAAAAAAGAGATCACCTGAAAATTATGCTGAATACACAAAGTGCAGGAGATCATGCACCTTTCAGTCATGTAAGGCTTCGATATTGACAGTTCAACTTCTTTCTATTCCCGGTGCAGGTTACAGATTTGAGAAACGAGAAGACATCAAGTGAAGGAACGGCATGTCTATCAGACATCACCTCTTCTGGCTAACATATTTTCAGGCTATATTT